AAGATTGCTAATTCGTCTCCAGTCTAAAGATTAGGTAATAGGCAAGAATATACATATCCAGGAATTTACCAGGAATTTCCTTGGTGTTATTTAAACCAAGGTGACGCATATGTATATTTTTCACAAAATAGTCACTGTTTGAAGAAGGAATTCCTCCCTTCAGTTGAGTTCAGGCCTAATCAACAAGTAGTTATTGGCCAATAGCTAAATGCAAAGTGCTGTGCTAAGTTGGGGAATAGGAAGCTGAATGAGAAAACATTTATGACCTTTGGAGAAAAACAAATATCTTTATCTCAGAGATAGAAGGAGATTGATTGGTTTGGAGGGAGATGTTATCTTGAAGAGTATAACAAGCTCCCCTACAATTCCACTCTTTGTTGCTATTTAAATACAATTGGAACTTTTAAAATATGTAAAATTAATAACAGTTTACAAATGTTTTTGTTAAGAATGAAAACTTTATTATTAGTAAAGGAAAAGGACACAGCTGGAAAATTGAAAACATTTTGGTTTTTTACTGAGAAAACAAGATCGAATAACAGCAAAAAGTGTATTTCTGGAATTGGACCTTGACAACTCTATTTAATCACTCCATCACTTTTTGCTATATGGCCTTTGATAAGTTGCTTAACCTCTTTGTGTGTCAATTTCCTCATTTGTAAAATTGGAATAAATGTTTTTTTGAGACAGACTAGAATGTTGCCTCGACTAGAGTGCAGTGGCATGACCACAGCTCACTGCACCTTCAACCTCCTGAGTTCAAGTGATTCTCCAGCCTCAGCTTCCCAGATAGCTGGAACCACAGGCACATGCCACCATACCTGGCTAATTTTTTAAAAGTTTTTCATAGAGATAGTGTCTCGCTAAGTTGCCCAGCCTGGAAAATTGGAATAATTCTTAAAATCTTCTTCCTAGAGTTGTGAAGATCAGTTAAGTTAATGCAAGTAATGTACTTGACAGGGAGCTTAGTCCATGTAATCACTCAATGAATACTAACATTTCTTTTCTCACAAATAGTTACTTACATCTGTCTGGCACCAACTGCCTCTCTCACTTCCCATAGTCTGGTTACTATTCATTCTTCAGTTTTCAGCTCAGACAATATCTTTTCCATATAGTTTTGTTGACACCACTTTGGGGAAATAGATGTCTCTTCTGCTTGCATGTTCAGGCTTTTTCATGTATACACCTTCTTTACTGACTGAAATTACTTGCCTGCTACTCTGTATTTTTCATGACACACTGAATAAGACAGGAAGAGAGTTTGTCTATGCTCAACGTAAGACAGAAATATAATGGGAGCTTCATATATATTTGTTGAATAAAATATATGAGGGGAAAATAGCAGATCTAATAATGTAGGACAGGAGGCACAATGGAATGGAGGAGAGAACCTTGTCTGAGAAGAGACATAATTAAAACAGGGCACAGGAGGGCATGGAGGGACATGAAAAAAAAGATTGGACGAAAAAGAGACGGAGAGACACAAACGTTTGTAGTAATTTGTGACAAGTGGCATTGATTGTTCATGGCCTAATTTTTTAGGGCATGAGGTTATTTCATTCTCTGTAACCCAATGAGAGTTTATACAATAACACATGTTATAAGGAGTCCCCTTCTTCCTTTTTATAAATTTTTAGACCTCCTGTGATTTGAGACTTTTCTAGAAGAATTCAGCTCAAGGCTGTATTGTTTTTTTTTTTTTTTTTAAATATAGTGTCTGGAATCAGATAACTTCCTACAAGGCTAATGCATTTATTTTGGGAATACATAAGCTTGATATCATTGTTACCAACAGTGCTCAGAGTTGATTTTATTTTCATTCCAACAGAAAAGGAAAGAAAGCCACTTCTTTCATGCTTTCATGCCATTCTGCATCTCTCTACCTTCACAGAGTTTCTTAATAATGGCAACATTTCCAATTCACCAATAGACTAAGAGATCATTGAGGCTAAACTAGCCTTATTAATCCTTATACCCCAGTGCCTAGCTGACCTCCTGGGAACATGAGAGTTACTCAGATACTCTTTACTGAAATACACATAGAAGGTTAATATAGGCCTGCAAAAAAGACAGTCTCTTACCTGGAATAAGAGAATAAAATCTAGGAAAGCCCATATCTGAGATCTCTAAACAACCTAACTACAACCACCAAGAAAAAAAAATCCCTGGATTTGAGATTTATTGTTTGTTCCCATTTTTAATATGTTCTAGTTAGTTGAAAAGCTAAAATAAGTGACAAGAAAAATGTAACTTAGGTATTTAAACAGAATTATGCTGAATGTTGTGAACTACATTTCTTTTTTACCTTTTATTGATACATACTATGTGTACATATTTATAGGTTACATGTGATATTTTGTTACATGCATAGAATGTGTAACAGTCAAGCCAGAGTATTTAGAGTATCCATTACCTCAAGTGCTTATTATTTCTGTGTGTTGGGAACATGTTAGTCTTCTCTTTTAGCTATTTTGAAATGTACATTGATGTTAACTATCATTAACACAGAGTAATTGATATGCATAGCAAATAATATTTGCAGTAGGATATCATGTATTTACAAATGTCATTTAACAAACATTTTTAAATTACTTTCTGTATACAAGGCACTGGTCTAAAAATATCAATTCATATAAATCTTTTAAGAACCTTAAGAGGATATCATGGGACAAATTTAGAGCTTTCTTTTGTGTTTGTGAAATGAATTGATTCCTTTTCCCTACACCCAGCAGAAAGACTTGAAGAGAAGAGTAATACCTAAGAACTAGAAATTCCTTTTCTGTGTTTCAAAAGATATCAAAAGATCTAAGGAAGATGTTCACATCAGAAATGAGTATTGTAATATTTATCATCTATGATGCACTTGCAAAAAAGAAAACAATAATAATTTGAAGATTTAAGTGAATTTTTTATGGCATTGGAGTACCACACATTTTGAATAAAGCACCAAATAAATCATAGATAGAAGGAAATGGAATATTTGTAGGATCAAGATAAATTAAGTTTGTCATAACATAAAGCAGGTATCAGGATAAAAGCTTGAAAGTATTTTCATTTCTCATTATTTATAACTTCAATTTACTGAAATGATTAATTGTAGGTAAAAGACTTAGAGAATACTGAAGTATAGACAACTTGAAGCGCCATAAAATGTAAGCTAATGACACTGACTACTTAGGAAATAGCAGGCTGGGTCTAAATTTATAGATTGTCAATGACAAGGAATTTGCAGATATTAAGGAATATAGATCTGAACTTAAGTTGCAACAACCTTTCCCTCTTTGAGATGAATAGTGCATGGAAGAATAAAATGCAGATATTAATAAATCAGAGTAAGACATTGCACCAGAGTATAAAGTTGGCAGATTTATACCAATGAACTTGAACAAAGCCACAGAAGATCTGCTTGTCAAATTTACTGGGTGACAACAGATCTGGAGAAATGGCTGATGCTTCGGATAATAGCATTAGCATTTAAGGTCTGTTTAAACTTCAAATTAACAAAATTAAATTAATATATGCACATATCAATTAGGTGTTCTGCTTATATATCACCTCTAATAGAGCCATTTTGACCAATCATTTCTAATGTGACCTTTGGGATTTTCTGCTCATCATCACTTCATCCTGTTTGGTTTTCATTATAGCATCTATCTCTTCCTAATGTTTTCCCTATGTATTTATTAGTTCATTTTTTAAAATCTCACTTTACTAGAAAATAAAATGCATGAAAATAGCAACCCGTTTAACTTTGTATCACTGAGTGGAAAAAGAAACCTCAGGAAATATTTGGTAAAATAATAAAATGCCCACTGATGCACTTCTCTTAAAAAGAAATTTAACTAGTAGCAGATTGGGAAAATACAAAATATTTCTTGTAAAACATGCTCTATATAGAATAATAGAAGTACTAGGTCCCAAAAAGTGTAAATAGAAGAAATAACAGATGATTTTGCTGCTGATTAATCCATTGATCTTTTATAAATCATCTAATTTCCCCAGGGACAGCTTCCTCATTTATAAAAGAGGGTTAGTAATAGCTAAGCCCTCAGGGGTTTAAAAAATACATATAGAATAATTTTATAAACCATAAAGCTTAAAACAAATGTGAAAAATTATGATTGGAGGAGGGGGTGGGGTAGTTAACTAAATCTCAGTGTAAACCATTAGTGTCTTGTGTGTGTTGAAGAAAAAATTACATATAAAAATTGGTTGCATCCAAAAAATAATGTACTTTTTGAACTGGCAAGACTCAAACCATATTATTATTACTTCCTCCCAGCTATGCAGTTTGCAAGATATTAGCTACTGTCATTTGAACAACATTGAGAAAAAATACTAAAAGGAAGAAACGTGATGGCATATAAACAAGGGCTAGGGCTGTGATGTTTATTTTGAATATGTGAAACATTGTCATGCGGAAGATTTATTCCGTGTAGCACCAAGATGCAAACAAACTAGGAATTAGTGGTAAAAGACTCAAGAAGGCAAATAGCGGCTTAAGACCTTGGTTTAATGTAAGGAACAGTTTTATCACCTTTAGAGCACTCCCATAAGGGTGGAGGTAGTGAACTGTGGTGGTCACATCTAAGCTAGATGGGGGCACGTCAGCAATGTTATCACGAGGCTTCTACTCTTAAGCTGAAGTCCAGACAAGATTTGCAGGCTCTTCCCAAGTGCAGGATTGTAATTACTTAATGACAATATTTTTACCATGTTTATTAAGAATAAAAGGATTATGAATTCACATTCTAACAAATCCTGGAATACTTATTATTAGAGACAAAACCAATGTATGAGAGAATGGCAGCTGACGTCAGCCATGAATCAGTGAGAAGAAGACCCAGTGGGGTGTGGTATTCACCAGAGAGAGCACTTCTGCTTAGATGACTGCATCCTACAAGGAATATTTACTATAGTTTAGTATATTGGTGGTCTGTCTTGCTTGACAACGTTAACTATGATCTTATTTATGACCCTTGGTGTCCTTCAAGAATTTGTTGCTGTATTTCATATGACATTTAACTGTTGCAAATACAAATTCCAGCTAAATAGACCCTTCAATTCAAAAACAGTCTCATTCTCTAGTTTTAAGAAGAAAGGGAAGGAGATGCCTTAAAGACTCAGCAAGTGCTAAACTGGCAAATAAGTTATATTAAATGTTAAAATAAGTTTATATTAAATGTTAAAGTATTTGCCTGGAATGACTTTTCCATTGTCCTGCTTGAGAAACGCAGAGGCGCCTCCTTATTACTTTTATATTTGCTTTACAAAGGCAAATGTATCATCACGCTCTGTATTAACCGTATGTTGACATTTTTGTCATACCCACAGACGGATGCATGTCTGTGCATGGTTTATAATAAGTGCACGTAAACAAAGAGAAAATAAATAGAAAAAGGGAGAGATTTAGTAACTCCTCCCAGACACAGATGAAATTAGTTTTCATTACTTTTTTTTTTTTTTTTTTTTTTCGCTTCAGCTCTCCCTCAGTGCGGGAGGAAGCTGTGTGCTGCGGCTGAGTGCTGGAATGAGGAGTAATTGAGCTTCAGCTGAGCCGGAGGTAGCTTTCTCCTCCCGGTGTCATTGCTGCAGCCTCCAGTGCCCAGTGCCTAGTTCCTGAGCTGCCTCTCTTCGCGGTGCAACATCGCCCATCAAGACAGCAAAGCCGCCGCAGAAGTTGCCCGGCAGAAGACTCCGGAGGCATTGGCTCAGGAACTTTTCACGTCATTTTCTGCTCGGGAGTCCCTTCTCGCCTCTCCGCGCAGCCTTTCCCACCGCACATCCCCGGTGCTCATGGGGCAGGCGGAGAGGAGCTTGCAGCACTGAGCGGAACCGGACTCGAGCCCGTGATGTCCGGCACCGAATTGGAGGACTGCCCCCCTTGTCGCAACTGGTCATCTGCCTCGGAGCTGAATGCAACTCAAGAGCCCTTTTTAAACCCCACCGACTATGACGACGAGGAATTCCTGCGGTACCTGTGGAGGGAATACCTGCACCCGAAAGAATATGAGTGGGTCCTGATCGCCGGGTACATCATCGTGTTCGTCGTGGCTCTCATTGGGAACGTCCTGGGTGAGTCTCCTCCCGGGCAGCCCTCCCGGGGGCTGTCACCTCCCCTCCGCCGCGGGCTGCGAAGGCTCCATAGAGACCCCTCCCTCCCCCAGGGAAGCAAACAAAGAGGTCGCTGCTCTCGGGTGGGGTTTTCTAATTAAAGAAAATATGAAGTTTTCTGATTTTCCAAACCCGGACCGAGTTCTGGAATGGGTTATTCCCTGTTCTGCTGGAAGGAGGGGAAAACCGTGTTTCTTTTTCCGAGCACCTAGATTACAAGCGCAGGAAGAGGGGCCACGACAGGGATCTCCAGGTGGATTTTGTTGAATGGGGGGAGGAATCAGTCATCCCTTTGTGTACCCTGGCTGGGTGCTTGGTGGGGGGGGGGGGTCGGAAGAGGCAGAGCTTGCAGAATGCAAAGCTGCATCCCTAAGGAGCAAGCTCTCTTTGGCTGTGGAAGTCACAAAGGGTTTCTGAGCTAGGTGGCTTTGCCCTTTGGTGAGGAGGTTTAGCCTCAAGTTAAGAGATGGTAATGAACCAGCAGGGAGTAGAGACGGAGGCAAAGCAGGGAACTGCACTCACTCATTGAAGCTGAATTAAACAGAAACCATGCCTGGAGCAAGAAGAAGGAGGGGCATGGGAGAGAAATACCACAGAGATCTCAATCATCCATCCATCCATCCATTCATTCAAACATCCATTCAGCCAAATATTGTTTTGTTTTGTTTTGTTTTCAGTCTGCTTGTTGCGGGGCTCAGGAATTATTCGTGTCAACTGTTTGTTGTTGTTGTTGTTTTGTTTTCCCCAAAGATGAGATTAAGCTTAATGCTGGGCTATTTGTCCCTGTCTAGGTCTGTATGCAAACACGTTTCCTCGACCCCACCCCCCTCCCCCAGAACAGTTTCTAAGGGTTGGGGAGGGTGTGAGATGGGAACATAGTGACTGCGATGATGGAATGTGTCAGGGCAGGGGGAATCTTCCTCAAGAAAAGGGGCTTTGGAAGGGAAGAATAACTTGAAATAAATTGTGAATGGAAGGAGAGTGTACCTTGATGAATGAAGAGTAGAAGGCTGGGAGACTTTTCACATGCAGAGGGCAGTGTGGAGGAAGTCTGCTGAAAACGACAGGAGATGGAGGAGGCTAGGAGTTGCTCTTGATTTTCAGTTGTAACAGGGGAAGAAGGTGATGAGGTGAGATAGGCTGGGAGGCTTTGCAGTCAAAAGCAAAGAACTTGTAGCTTCAGTGGAGACTGACAAGGAAGTTATCAAGCTTTCAGCATTCATCTGATTTTTATCTTCTCTCCCAAGTGTGTTGGTCTGGGTGGAAAGCAACCAGAGTAGTCTCTCACCAACTCAGCAGGCAGAATAGATGATAGTTTGTGAATGAGAGTAATTCCCCAGAGAGTTGGTACAATATTATTTGAGGAGACAAGAAACCTCTGAGAGCTTTAGTACATTTTAAAATATTATTTTTAGACTGTTTCAAGGAAATCTTTTTAGGATGCTAACAAACTGAAACAAAAGAGGAAATACACATGATTAGAACTGTTGCTATAAGCATACGTCTGCTGATAATAATTGCAATCTTGCTTTCCTTCTTCTTGTTACACATCCTTAAGATTACATCTCTTAAGACACATGGCTACCAGCATAGCAACATTTTACTACATTATGACAACACTTATTAATAAGTGAATAATCAAAATTGAACATATATTGAGTACCTATTGTGTGCCAGATCCCTTCATTTACATTCTCTCCCTTAAACATCAACATAACCCACATTAGGCAGAAGAAACAAGACTTAGAGAAATAAAATGACATATTAAGGGACATAATTTAGATTCAGTTCCATTTCTTCTGACCTCAGATCCAGAATTCTCCATTGTTATTCCACTCTAGAGCTAGAAAGCATATAGAAAATAGATTCTCTGCTTCTGATTGTCTGCAAGCTTATTGGATGTGTTTCTGTTCTCCCCTGCATCAATGCCCACTGCCAATAAAGTACAATGAGGGGTTAATGGCACTATCATTCTCTTCACCAAAAAAACCTGTCCAGAGAAGCAGTATTTTTTTTTTTTATGAATAGCTATAAACAGCAACTATTTGCCTTCCTTATTTTAATTTTAGGTTGAATCTTTGTGATAAAATGTGCTCTTCTTTGCTATTATTGCATGTTTACTTTGCACAGGCCTTGTAATGAACAGTCTCCATAACATAATTGCATAGTTTAGAGTTACATGTTTGCTAGCCTGGGAAGTTTTAGTTTCAAGAAAGAAACACCTCTACAGTAAGGCTACTTGTTTCATAGTGTCAAGGAAGATAGCACTATCCACAGCCCCAAGTGCTGAAATGGCCAATTCCATTCAGCCTAAAAAGATTTTCTCAAAGCACTCTGCTCTCAAGAAACTGACAGCTATTTTCCTCAGGACTGAGTAACACTGAAATCCTCTCTGTTTGAACTGAAACTCATTCTTTTCTGCCATACTTCCTGAAAGTTGATGAGGTTTAGGTTTGACATTTAAACAAATGAGTAGTGTCGTTACTCACAGACAATTTCCTGCTCTTTGATGTCTCTGTCAAACTTGCAAAATGAATTAGATTGAGAATTTTTTTTTTTTTTGCCTCTCTGGTATAAGTAATTTTACACATAGAGTGGTAGGACAGGATGTCACGTGATTTATGCAAAATAAAGATGCAACATTAAGTATGAAGGTGAAATACCAAGAGGGTAGGCAGCAGATGTAATCACTGAGCCTTCAGGCTCAGTCACCACTGATACTTTCATATAACTAACTACTTGGAAAATCTCAGTCTTTTGGGGCTTACAAATGTAATGCCATATGTTAGAAGTCATTTTCCTTACAGTGTCCTTTCCTGAAGTGATGTAATTGGATATGCTATGAGTAGCATGACACATTCTTGATTGTCCTCATCTCTTTTTCTTCTCCTCAGGATCCCTCTCTATCATTATGCCCCCTCTCCACTCTCATAGATTCCTTCCAGAGATGGAAAGCAGTTTCCTGAGGAATAAAGATTTAAATGGAATTTTAGGAGTTTTTACTTTCCAGTGAAAAGCTGTAAGCATGTTTATTGTGGAATTTTAAGTTGCAGGGAAGGAGCATGGGGTAAGGTTCTTTTTGGAAGGAGTATTTTTTCAGTATCTTTAAAATAATGCCACCTATTAACTATTCCTAACTGTGTCTCCTATTACAGCTAAGTAGATGTAGCAACTTATTCACTTAGTGCATTTTAAGCACTAGCATTTTTTTAAATTAATGTGTATATCAGGGGGAAGCATTGGGGAAATGTAAAGAAATGTAAATGATGTTAATTTTTGCTCCTGATTTCTTGAGTGAAAATTTGGGGGAGAAAAGTGTTCTAGTCAGTTCAAGCATTAAGTAACTAGGGAAAATGATCAATTTTCCACCTCTCTTATATCTGCATTCAAAGATATCATAAGTTTCAGCTGGTATGCTTCTATTATATCTGTTATTGTCTCCATATGAAAAATGGGAAACCCGTAATAAATGTCCACATCAGTTCAGTTATGCTTCTCGCTTCTTGTGTGCCATTAGCAAGTTATTGAACTATCCAAGTCGATTTTTTTATAATTACAAATTAAGATCGATAATGCCTGCATCGTAGAAATAATATCAGGATGTAATATACAGATAGGGCATGTAAAGGAACTCAGGCACATGCATACTTTTTTGACACATAGACACTAATTAATGTCAATTTTTATCTCTTAATTTTCATGACTGAACTTTTTGTGATGTGGTTTATAGCCAGCTTCTGCCGTCATGGCCAGTCTGTATCTCTGTAGCTCTTTGTAGCCTCTGCCCCAGCCTTTTCCTTAATTACATATTTCCCTAAAAGGTGTGAATAAAATGGTGTTGGCACATGTTACTGTCCTTTTCCACAGTAGCTCCACCCACCCATCCCTTTCATACTGATTACTTAACCTTGCCTTGTTGCCTTCCCATGAAAGCCATTTCTAACTATTGGAATAGTTTGCTTGTTTTCACAGCTTAAATTTGCCTGCATTGGTTCCCATTCGTTTAGAGGTTTTGAGTTGTTAATAGGCTCGCCTATCACTTCTAATGTTTTAAATAACACACACACTGGTAATATATTATTTTAACTAAGACATTGTTAAAATATATAGTGAAGTATTCATAGTTAAAATACATTGTCCATTTGTCCATTAAATAATTTACCCAATAATAGTTTATCCAAATTAGGTGTGTGGAATGGGAAAATATTTGTAATAGGGTTGCTTCCTACAGGCTTAATCTTCTGTCATATATGTAAGTGGTAGAGTTGCAAGTTCATGCTAATCTTAAGGCTAAGCACATTTGTTTTCTGCTTCTCTTAATGCCCATTTTAGTTTTGTGGGTGTTTGTAAACCTATCCTTTCCTACACAGGAATCAAAAATGAGTTTCTAGCCTCTTTTTAGATGTAGAAATAACACATCACTCATCTCTGCCAAGACTCAATATAAATCATGAATAGTGACTCTAAAAGGTAATATTAAATATTAAGCTTTAAACTTATTGTACATTTTAATTGTAGAATGCAAAAATGCTTATCTGAATAAGAAACTGATACCTATGCATTTTTGCTAAAACCTTAATGCTTAGTCTTATTTAGTAAAATAAATTATATATTTGACTTAAAATCCCAATGATAACTTTTAAGATAGCTATTTCATAGAGAACAGCAACATTTATCATGGACAGACAATAATGAGAGTACCATGTTCAACTGATAATTTAAATGTAATGAGTTCTTTATGTATTTGAAAAAGTATGTTTGGAAAATAAGATAATAAAAAAATAGCAATTTTTGAGAGATCAAATCTAAAATTTAAATACAAACACAATATTCCAGTTTTTAGAAAACTGTCTTGATTTTAGTAGTGCTTGCATACTAAATTGTATAATGTGTTTTTATATTAATTTTCATTAATTTGTATTTTAGATTGTATTTGAAAATTGTCAGGTACTGCAGCTGTG